GACTCACAGTACTGTGCAAAAGCTATAATCAGGTGTACTGTATATTTTTATTCCTCCTTCCCCCTGGTCATTTTCTGTCTTTCTCAAATATTTTAAACCAGATCAGTTTTTTTTCATTATACCAGTCTATGTCAGTGTTGCCTGAACTGTTTTTCTGGGGACCCATATTTTAAAAGTCACAAACTTTTGCGACCCAGTTCAATAGACATTATTCATAAACTCCTGGGAAACATGACACAAGATGCCCCCCAAAAAAATCTCTTGAGACCCACCTTGTTTAAAATATATGATGTTGTCAAGATTTTAATAAGCATGTAGACCAGGGGTGTCAAACATATGGCCTGTGGTCAAAAAACGGTCCACTAGGGGGATCAAGCCAGCCCGCTTGATGAAATTTGAAAGTGAAAAAAAATGAACACTTCATGTTCGTGATGTTTTGTCACATTATATTTCTTTAAATATGAATATTTTCTAATATACTTGTTCTTGCAGCAAAATATTATCATTTAAGGTAATTATGTTATAGTTATTGTACTGGTCCGGCCCACTTGACATCGAATCAGGCTGTACATGTATGAGTTTGACACCCCTGGTGTAGACAGTGCATGTACGCGCTGGTGTTAAACCACTTCACTTTCAGTTCTTTTCACTGTTGTTTTAAAGAGGACAGCAGCATGTAGCGCAAGGACACTGCGTCTCCTTGTCTTCACAGACACTCTGCAGTGTTGGCCTGAGGGACGGAGGTTAAAATGAGAACAAAGTGGAGTCACTGTTCCCTCCACCTGCCAGGTGGAGTGCTGCTGAGGCCGGACCTGGCAGCTGCGGTGACCAGACGTCCACATGTAGTTTATGTAGCTCTTCAAACCTTAAAGCTGAAGAGAGCTAGTGTTGTGTTTCCGCAGTGCTGGGACTGTCAGGTGGTCACGGGGTCTATTTTTAACATGCACTGTGTATTTAAGTGGGTCGGTAAAAAGAAAAAAAAGAGTACTTTCCCTTTAAACTGCCTCAAGCAAATTCCTCCACATTTGGCACAAATGCTAACTTGCACTCACAGACTGTGTGTTTAAAAGCGGGTGACCAAAGGTCAAAGTCTAAGGTCACAGTAGACTCAAAAACATGTGCCCCTGGTAGGGTAGATTGCTTTAACAACATGCACATGTTTTACAGTGGAGACAGAGATTGTTGTTCGATGAAGCTTGTTTTCGCTGCTTGATAATTTTAGATTTTTTTTTTGAAATGTTTGTTCAATTTCTACCTTCTTTGTTTCTTTGCTGCATAGTTTTTGTGTTCCAATCCTCTCTCTCTCTCTCTCTCTCTCTTTCTCTCTCTCACACACACACACACACTGCTCTGTTCATTTTATGCACTGGAGGCAACATATGAGACATGCTCTCACATTTGGCAGTCCTGAGAGTGAACACTCATCTCACTTCTTTATCACTTCTTTATCTTTACTTTTCTGTTTTTGCACCATATGCCATGTGGGCTAAAAAGGAGAAGAGAGTTAGCTCCTGCATTTGTCTCGGTGGAGTTGGAGTCCTCTCCTCTGTACAGGTGGCTCCAATTCTTCTCCTGCTTTTTGAGACGTACTGTGGCTGTGAATCAGTGCTGGAAAGACTAATGGGTTTCATATGGACGGAGCTATTCTTACTGCGAGACGGAGTGTAGCATTTGTATTTCATCTAAAGCAAATTTAATAAATCTTTGGATTCAGAAAAAACAGTTTGAAATAAAAAGAAGAATCTGAAGCTGCTCCAGTTGGTAGTCCAACACAAGTTCTTTTGTGGTAAATTCAAAAGCTCCGCCTCCTTTTGAGTAGGCCCTCACAGTTTGAGTTGTTTAAAACTCTGGTGCCTGTGTCTCTGTGTGAACGGTGAGACGATACCGCCAGCCCCGCCTCTCTTCAACCTTTACACTAGTGACCCTGTTCCTTTTTTGAGTATCCAAGCTTGATTCATATTCTCTGTGGGTTCTTTTCCAATTTTCCAAATTTCTCTAGTGTTAATATGTTAGAGTATGGTTGACACAGCGCCACATACAGGCCTGCATATGTGCTACAGTGACTGGAGTCCTTTTTTGTGGCTCTGTTTAGACACAGATTTTATTTGCCCCAGATCCCTGTAAATGCCCCGTATCCAGAGGCTACAGTAGTCCTGTTGTATCCTATCATCACTGTGTAAAGGCTTCACTTAGACTAAACACTTGAACTAAGGTCTCAGCAAGAGACATGACCAAGGGTGTGTGAGAAGTGTGTCCTCATAATTAGTCATGCACTACAGTTAGAGCAGTTGTCTGACAGTTGACGGTTGATGTTTTATTCATTTTCTTAAAGTTTTTTTTTTTTAAATTATGGTTTGTCATCGAAAGGTTTAACTGCCAACCCCTTCGTCAAGTGTTTTTTATAGTCAGTGGCACTTGAACACATCGCCTTTATGATCTAAGGTCCTAAATTTCCCAAAGGAAATGGATGGATAGATTCATCCATCCATCCATGGATGGATAGATCCATCCATCTATCCATCCATCCATCCATCCACCCATCC